AACTTGGAAAAAGGTAAACTCTTTGTGGTAGACAAATAACTATCCTTATAAAGTGAAATGTGTCTTTTGTTAAATGCAGACTGTCTCCATGTGCTGGCTTATGGTAACAAGGAAAGTAAACTGATTATCCTAGCATCTGGTGGGCCTGCTGAGCTTGTGCGCATCATGAGAAGTTATACCTACGAGAAACTCCTCTTCACAACCAGTCGTGTGCTTAAAGTACTGTCCGTGGATACTGATAACAAGCAGGCTATTGTAGAGGTAAGAAATAGTAGTTTTTTTTCAGCTTTGTTTTTTGTTTCATTTACTTGCTGCAATAATATTTTCTTCAAGTTTTTTATTCAATCTGGAAAGAGGGCTTTTCTACAGTTCTAGGAACATGTTTATCTCTTTTTTTTACCCTCGTGTTGCTAGCTATATATTCAGGATGACGGAAGAAGAAATTAACATTGCACATCCTGAACACAAAAACCAACTGGTTGAATTTTTGCGATCTGTGGATGCAACCAAATTTTATAATGAGTTGTGACAGCTTTGGAAAGTAACACAAGTAACAGGGCTGTCATTAAAATTTCAAGTTGCCGGGCTAATGATACAAAGTAGGTGGGGAACCCAACAGCTAGGGATTTTGTTTGGTTCTATTTTTCGTCTATTTTCGTTCAAAAGTAGCGAGAGTCGCATTCATGATAGGCGGAGAAAATCCGCGGACCCTAGTCCTTTATAGGGAGCTTAAGCGCCAGTGACGGCATCGAGAACCTCAAAAAAGCAATAGGCTTGTTACGCAAAACAACACATTTGCATGTGCATCACACTTTTTTGTACATTTCTTTGTCTTTCTCTGCACGACTACGATGTGAAAATGCATAATTTCACATTTTATGGAAGACGACAAGCAAAGACGAATTTTTCTTTCTCTTTCTAATTTTCGGTGTGGTCTCCAAGCAATCATCTCCAGGGAAATTCACCCACTTTTGACATTTCAAGAGAACTGGAATAAATGCAGAAAAGTTTGAAAAAACGCGAATTCATTTTAAAGTGACCTTTTCCCTGCTGTAGCTGTCATTGGTGCTGAAGCTCTCTAATGACAGCCCTGAAGAGAGTTGTTCCTATGATTTGTTTCTTAATGATGTGGTACTTTGTGATGATGAAATTAATGTTGCCTTTGTTTTACTCAGGCTGGAGGTATGCAAGCCCTTGCTATGCATCTTGGGCACCAGAGTAACAGGCTTGTCCAGAACTGCTTGTGGACACTTCGCAACCTTTCAGATGCTGCTACCAAAGAAGATGGACTTGACAACTTACTTCAGATGTTGGTACAGCTGCTGTCGTCCAATGATATTCAAGTCGTGACATGCGCAGCTGGTGTCTTGTCCAACCTGACATGCAATAACCCCAATAACAAACAGCTTGTGTACAGGTTTGGTGGAATTGAAGCCCTGGTGAGGACGTGCATGCAGGCTGGAGACAGAGAGGAGATCACTGAGCCAGCGGTAAGATAGTTGGCTATGTCTGCTGTCTTCGTCATTCGTGGTTAATTAAGAATTGCAGTGTTACAAAAGCAGGGAGGGGAAAGCTACGGTTTCCTCTTTTAAAGTCTGTAAAATGTCAGAAAGGCCCTTTAGGGCAAAGTATCTCAACTAATTTTGTCGCTGTTTGTAGTTACATTTTAGTAGAGGTGGTCTAACACTTTATGCTCCTTTCAGGTCTGTGCGCTGCGCCATCTAACCAGCCGTCATGAGGATTCTGAAAAAGCCCAGAATGCAGTTAGGGTTCATTTTGGCTTGCCAGTCTTAGTAAAACTGCTGTACCCACCATCCCGTTGGCCGCTCATCAAGGCTGTTATTGGTCTCATGCGAAATCTTGCCCTTTGCCCTCTCAATCATACTCCGATCCGTGAGCATGGAGGCTTGCCACAGCTTGTTCAACTTATGATGCGTTCTCATCAAGATATGCAGAGGAGACCTGGGCAGAGTGTGGTGATTGATGGTGTCAGAATGGAAGACATTGTTGATGGGTGTGTTGGCGCACTCCATATTTTAGCACGAGAGGCACACAACAGAGCTGTTATACGAAGTCTCCATTGCATTCCACTGTTTGTTCAGGTAGTTAATACATTTTTTGGCAGGGATTTACCATTAGTAAATTTGTAGACAGTTAAGAATGAGGATTTTTCAGGGAATTTGGAGAATTTCAGTTCCAAAAATATGCTAGTGCATTTTTAGGTCTGCTAGCTTGATATTTTGATTTGTTTTCTAGACGATCTTCAATTCATCAATTTAAAAAATTATATTATAAACTAGCTTTCTCAGGGTGCAAAGAAAGTTAGGCAGGCTTTAACTACCATGTACTAGCCCAAAATTGATTTGATCTCGCCTGAAACGGGGATTGCAATATTATTCTTCTGTAATTTGAATTCCCCTAAAAACTTCACTTTTCCATTGGGAAAGTTAAGAACCGAATTCACTAGCCCAATAGCAAAATCCTCAAGCCCCATGTAATCGGAGACTACTTCCTTTCCACACTGCATTTTCTGTCTATCTATACTTTGAAAATTTACCTGGTGGAAATGCTAAAATATAATTGGTCTGTGAGTTCTGTTAGTGTGGGTACATTTTTAAAACAATGTAATAAGACAATGGTCCTTTCTGTTTTCAGCTACTATACTGTCCCATCGAGAACATCCAGCGTGTTGCTGCGGGAGTGCTCTGTGAACTAGCCCAGGACAAAGAAGGCGCTGAAGCCATAGAAGCTGAAAATGCCACCGCTCCTCTAACCGATCTGCTTCATTCAAGAAATGAGGGTATCGCTGCTTATGCTGCTGCAGTGCTTTTCCGTATGTCTGAAGATAAGTCACAAGATTACAAAAAACGGTTGTCAGTGGAGCTGACGAGTTCTCTCTTCCGAGATGATGCCCCTTGGCCTGAGGTAAGGAGTGTATTGTCAGTGGTGAATGTTGAAGTATCAACTCTTTAAACGCTAAGAGTGATCAGCATCAAATTTTTCCTTGTAATATCAATGCTTTGTAAAACAGAGTGGTCATGAGAATTATGGACATGATCACACAAGATGAATTTGCTTGATATTTTATCAACTTCTCCCCCCTACCTCTGTAGGAAATGAATAGGGGCAACAAATAAGAATTCAAATTTTGATCTTAGTGTTCAGTGTGTTAATAATTGTTTAAGCCCCAACGGTGACTGGCATCAACTTTCTCCTAACACTGTCTATAACAAAAAACTAAAAAAACTGTGCTCTATCTATCAAAGAGTTATTTTTCTTAGAGCACAGCCATGTACACCCTTCTTGACTATAGTTCTTGACCAAATCCCCTAGTCTTTGCACACTAACTTAAGAGGTTTTTTTTTGTTTTCTTTCTTCAGCCAATGGATGGAGACTTCCATGACCCAAATTACAATATGCCGCCTATAGGCTATGGTTATCCTCACGATGGCTTTGACTACAATCAGCCGATGGATTATTCTCACGACCCAGGTTATGACTTCCACCAAGGGGACCCTGCTTTGCAACCTCTTGCACACCCCCCTCCTCGAGGGGGAACCTGGTATGACACAGATTTGTGAAGTCGAAGATGTAAACCTTTTGTGAAAGGGGTTTTTGAACTTTTGATTTCTTACCATGAGGAAGACCAGAGCATTGAGCTGTAGTGCTACATAAAGCAAGAATTACTAGAGAAAGAATTGCTTGCAGTACAGTATTGCCATTTCAGGATTTCTGATCATGATCTTTATCTTGTTATTTGCAAGCTGTGTTGTATTCATTGTCAATGTCGGTAGCATTCCCAGTTTATAATGTTAAGTTCTATAAAACAGGCTTTCTAATTGTCTTTCCAAATGGTCTTGGGATTGAGAGACCTTTGTAAAAACGTCCATCCTTTTACTTTCATCTTTCACAGTTCTATGTACAGTTGAATAGTTCTTAGTAGTTTGAAGAGTCCAGAGACTTCGATGAAAAATGTCTAAAACTAAACTATTCCCTTGTTGGGAGGGATGTAAAATTTTAAGTGGCTGGTGTGCACAGCCGAAACCTCGTGTTGGCAGTTTTTCTTATTCCATTTGTCTACAACTCATGTATTTTTAAATCTTTCAAGTTTGATTGTAAAAGGAACAAAGCATTTCCCCCTGAATTTGTTTTATTTATGTTTATTTGCAACACAGCAAGTGTTGTTTTCATCAAATGGCAGTATTCTGAGACTGTATGGTGAACAAAATAACTGTTGCATAGGAGCCAAGGTTACAGACTTTGGAACATTCTGATTTAAACCTTTGGCTTTGTTAAACAGAAAACCTTTGCCGAGTTATTTAGTTCCCAGGCTCCACTCCTCTTTTAAATCCTAGTTCCCAGAGCCTTTTCAACAAAATGCATATTGATGTAGAGGATGGGAGAGGGGAGCCTGGGTATTTTGTACAAAAAAATCAAGTCATCTGTATATTTTGTTAAACATTTTGTTTTTCAATCAGAACCTTTGCACCAATTTACACTGTTATAAGCTGGATAATTATTGTTTCTCTAGTAAAGCTTTTGTATTTTCCTCTTTTTTGGTTTTGAGGGGACAAAGGCTTTAACTTCTAATCCTCTGGTCTGCAACGGTTTTTGTCATTACCGAAGCAATCATTTGTTAATTGTTCGCTGCTTAGAAATAAGAGGAGAACTGGTGCCGACATGTGTCCCGCAATTGATTCTGGGATCGCTACTAGGGACGCACAGGTCAGCTATTGGTCAATTTTTTTTCTCTGTCTTTTGTAACAGTCCCAGAAGTCTTTGCGTAAGTTAACTCGACCCAGATTTTTTCTCGTTTTTCAAGTGGTGAATTTTGAGTATGACAAGCCACAGACTAAGAAACTGCATTCTCTTTTTTGACTGTATTATATATCATTACTTTCCTTTCTTCTTTCGCTTGCTAAGGATATGTTTGTATAGATCACCTAGTGGTAGGCTTAAAAATGCTGAAGAGCCAAATAATTTTAGGTATTTTTAGTCAGGCTTGGCTGTGTCGCTTAGTAGTGTATTACAGTGATTGATGTGAGCAGCTATATGCAATTAAATTTTATAATCAGGTAAAATGGATGCGCTTTTTTCTTTTTCGATGCACTCGTATACCTTGTTACAGATGTTTACGTGTGATAAAGTTTGCCAAGATTCGGAAGCCATATTTCGCGGTCGTGGGACAACAAAGTAACCTAAATGTTTTTAACTTCACAATCTCCTCTGACTGCTTTGAAGTCGTTTAGACAAACGGAATGCAAGAGACCGTCACAGTAAACCTATGTTCACACTCACTCCAGTTCTCCCCTCCCTCTTTCTATGTCACGAAACCCTGGGAGAGAGACTCTCCCTCTTTCCCGGCTTTGCGTGACAGAGAGAGGAGTCAGAACTGGACTATGTTCACACTGTATACCGGACAGCTTTTAGTGCCGACACAAAAGCTATTCGGCATAGTGTATAGTGTGACCTCTTAACTGATTTGACTCTCCTCTTTAGAGATCGCCAAGCGCAGCTTCGCTCCGTAACAGATAGCCTGTTCACAGACCCTCTATTTTCTCATCAAAGTCCGTCGAGCGCGCGTGATAAAAAATGAACCGTGGGGGATTTATTGACCGCCAGCGCAAGGGGGTAGGGGTGAGGGAGGATGGAATATTTTTCTTTCTCGCGCACGCCAGTGTTTTCCAAAAGAACGAAAAGAAAAATAAAACAACGTCCGTGTACAGGCTACATTACAGAAATCACACCGAAATCACCGTCATCATGTGTTCACAGAAGCCATATCCGGTATGGTTTTCGTACCGGCGCCAAAGATATCCGGTGTAGTGTAAACACCCATCCGTATCACGCCGAAAATTGTCACCACTCTTATGTGTGAATACCCTGGGTGCCAGAGGCTTTTCATGCGCGGTTTCCGGTTTCAGTCAGTCTTAAAAAGTGACCCGCGCGAAAAGCTTCGCCGCTCGTGTCTTCGGCCTTCGGCCGACAAAACGAAGCTCCCCCTCGTACGCGAGAAACAACCTCTCGTACCCAGGGTAATGTGTGAGCGGAATCCCCATTCAGGCAAATGAAAAGTGAAAAGGAGAAAAGTAAAGTGAAAAATCTGGCGAAGACAAGAGAAATAACATTTTCAACTAAATGTCAACCATTAAAGTCTGCAACTCCCAAAACTTGTGTCGTTTTATGGGGTAATAATGTATACTTTTTCCGCTTCCTTTTAAGACACCAACTTGAGGCTTTGGTTTAATTTATCACTGGTCGAATCCGGAGTAACGGAGCTAGAGCATAGAAACTCGCACGGCTAGTCTCCCCGGACCCTTTTTTAGGTAGTACTTTTTGTTGGAAAAGTCGGCCCGTTAGCCTGCGTAGCAGGCGTCGAAAGAGGTAGGGGATAGGGAAAAAGGGAAAAAGGGAGGGGGTTTTTGCTTTTCTCCCTCCCCCTCTCCCTCCCCTTTTTGCGCCTGCCACGCAGGCTAGCCGGCGTGGGAGGCGTTTTCCCCTTCGCCTTCCTAGTAACGTCTGCCACGCAGGCTAAAACCTTTTAAACCATATCGCATTATTTTTTTACACTTTTCAAGGGGTATAAATGTTCATTTGTATTAAGTTATACGAGATAACACCAATTAAAGGTTCTTATGGGGGCCCGCGAAAATAAATTTCAAATTTCTCAGGAATTGAGAAAATTATAGGTAAAATCGTTTTTAGTAAGATTTCATTTTGTGAAATTTGAAGCTTTTGAAGATTGTTGTCTCGGGCTCCCATAAGAACCTTTTCCGTTTGGAGTTATTTCATTTAACGTATTACATTTATGGCCCTCAAAAAGTGATTCACAGAATGCAATAGGATTGAAATTTTTCTGGTGTAAGGTTTTTGTCCACTGAAAACTAAAATTACTCTACTTCCTAATGGATTCCATCTTTAATTTTCGCTTGCCGCGCAGAGGCGTACCTAGAAATTCCAGAGGTTCTCCAAATCAACTCTACCCCCAGTCTCCCTGGCGAGGTAATCATCTCTCTTCGTCTTACGTTGGCCAAAATCAGGGAAACCGCAATTTGTTTTTAAAAAAATTATTACGGGAGGCGGGATACCGAAACAACCATTCTGGGGTCTCTTTCTCGATAGGTCCCGTAACTTTTCGGGTTCGAAGGCAAATTTTGAAATCAATACTTGTTGAATAGTAGCACAGTTCCTAGCTCACAAACCAGCCCATTTTGCTTGATTAACTGATTTTTGAGGTTCATTGCATTATTTTCAAATCATTTTCACGACTGGGTTGTCTATAATTGGGTTGCATTTCATCAGAGTTCACTAGAATGGCTGATTTTACAGTCGAGAATATAAATATATTTTTACCAATATTTCGGGAGACACGGCCTTCCTTCTGTCAGCGTATTCCATACAATGATGAGGTTGTAGTATGTAATAGTTATACCCTGAAGAAGGGTATATATTCCCGACTGTAAAATCAGCCTTGCCTCTTTTGTTCAATATTTTCTCTTATTGCTGATTAGATCCTTTATTACGATCCGATCCTTGCTTCCAGTATTGAATTTACTAAGTTTGCGTGCAAACGGACGCAACAACTCCCAACATTGTTGCGCCAACAATGTTGGGAATTGTTGCGTGCGTGTTGGCAATTGTGTGCAAACGGATGCAACAACTCCCAACAATGTTGAGCCCTGCAGTGCATCGTGGGAAGGATACAACCCATAAGTCTTTGTAAACCATACGTAATGAGTGTGCGCGGCCCCAACAATGTTAGCCTGAGACCATGCCCTCTCCCTATTATCCCTTTATGTCTCTCACGGGAAGAAGAAGAAGCCAAAGAAGCAAAAAATAAAATAAAATAGCGTCTGATCTCAGGTTACAACAATGTTGGAAGAGTTGTGCAAACGGATCCAACATTGTTGCGCTACGCTTCGGCGATTACGGAACAAAAGAAATGTTGGGAGTTATTGGTGAAAAGTTTGACCGGTTTCAAACTTTGCGCAACAACACGCAATAACATCCAACAACATGCAACAGGGTGTGCAAACGGACGCAACATGTAACCTCCAACAATGTTGCGTCCGTTTGCACAGGGATTAAGGGCTGCACGCATTTTCGGATTTGGGGCTTTGGAAAGTTCTTCGTATTTGCGGTTAACAAACGTACCAGAATGTTTGTGTGGAAGGTGAAAAGTAAAGTGTTCTTCATTCAATTTTAAAAAAATGGGTCAATCAATTTTAGGACGACCTATTTAAAGGATTGTTAAGATTACATAAATAGAAAGTGACTAAGTTGGGATCGCGAACAGAATTACATTTGCCCAAAGTGACTAAGATGGGGTCTATAATTGGCCAGGGTCTCTGAAAAGCCAGCGGAACATACCCAGCAAACATTAACCCGAGTGCCACGCGGGGTTTATATATTATTTTTCATAGAAATGGTCAGTCGTAAATACCGTATTTACTCGAATAATAGCCGGGGGCGATTATTTCTTTTTTCGCACAAAAAGGGTGCGATTATTCGAGGGAGGCGATTATTTCAAATATTTCTCCGGCACTGGAAGTCGTGCACTAAGTATTTTGTTTTATTTTCC